AAGACATCACTAGATGCCTGTGTCCTGGCACGCTACCTCAGCTCTGCAGCATTCTGTGTTTGTTGACACTGTGATCCACAACGGTGAGGAGCCCCAATCAGCCCTGAAGAAAATTAGACCCAGGCGTCTGAAACTCAATCCTAACAGTTGGTCTTTTGCTGTAACTAAAAAGGCATCCTCAGTATTCAAAATGGAATACAGTCTTGCACGTCTGTCCCATTTGCCTTAGAAGAGAAACAAAAATTCCCCTTGATCTGATATCAACGTGATTTATGCATAAATATACCACGGGCTGGGGTATTACAGTTAAAATGTGCTGCTCAGTGGGCTGGGCTGTACATGGCCCATTTTATGAACGACGCAAGGAGTCAGACGTGTCTCTCCTAACATCAGGAGCCGCAGGATCTGGTCCTCCCCAGCACCGAGCTACCTCTTGGTGCAACCTCAGGGCGAGAGAGCCAGCATGCTGATCCTAAGCACATTTGGCTGGAAAGGAGGCTCCATTGAACATTTATGTAATGTGTTTATGCCTCTCTTTTCAGCCAGATAGGCTTCCAAAGTGGCTTCCAAAGTGGCTCCCAGTACAAGGGAACAAGTGTGCATGGATCGGAGAAGGCCTATTTATAGCTCTCTCTTCCAGCTTGTTTCTTTTTCTTGCCCCCCCCCCCCAGTTGCTCTTGCCATAGTTGGCCTGGCCAGCCATTAACTTCTGTCTCTTTTTAATTAAAACCAAGTGCCGAGGTGCAGCTTTTTCCTACGCAAAGATAGGAGATTCCCTACACCCTGCAGCACCTGCTGGGCCTGCCAGAACACTGATAAGATGGGACTGCCAGTTACTAGAGATAAGGATGAGCAAATGGCCCTGGCGGTAGCTGCCGACTCCCACGCTCCAGCTTCCAGGGGAGAGGACGCCCGTGGGTTTAGAGCTGGGTTTTAAAAACCACTGGGAACAGACACATATGATGCATTTGGGCTATGTTTTAAATGCTTTTCTGGAAGCCATGAGGAGAAGCTTGTTTATTTTAAGAGTGGAGAAAGAGGGCTTGAGGATTAAGCCGTAGCTTACACAGAAGTATCCTGGGAGCTGTGCACTCTTCCCCTCTATACAGATGATATTAAAGTCATAGAGTTGGTTCCAGCTTCTGCTAGAACTTTTGCACAAGCAGAGACACAAGAAAAACACAGCACTAGTAGCCACTTGCACTAAGCTAAACTTACTGTATTACCCGCTTGCGTTTCCGCTTGCAAAAGACCTTGAACAATCCGTTCCTGGGCACTCTAAGGAGGAAAGTGCTGGGCATTCCACAAGATATACTAAGTCCATTAATGTTTCTGCGTGTACATTGCTGGATCCAAGCCACGGCAGACAAGAAAACTTCTCTCTCTAAACAATTTCCAAGTTAAAGTGTTCACTTTTTAAAAAGGCAACTCTAGCTAATGTCTTTAATCAAGCCAACCAGGTAGGGGCTGCTTATTCCACTATTCTATTGAGCACTTAGACAGCTCATGGGAAGAGAAACTGGCACAATACCAAAGCAACTTCCACGATTGGAGATTCCTGGTAATTCGGCATCCAGGGCACACAGAAGCAGCTATGGTGGCATCACTCAGGTGTCGTCCTCCCATCTTCTACTGCTCACATAGAGTAGAATACAAGGTATGAATCTGTCCTTGACTGAGATGCGCAGCTTAGCCATATGACGAATTTGGCCAGGCCACTTAAGAGGGGATCTTCTCTGCCTAATGTTATCAACTAGGATGTCATTTCTGTAGGGTGCTGGATCCACCAGAAGCAGCAGTTAGGCTCAGATGCCCATTTTCCTGGTAGTAGTAGTAGTTGTCTTTTTAAAATCATGCTTATTAAAAAATGAGCTAACTCCCTATTTAAATGTGGAGAGCTCCTTCACAGAATCTCATGTCGGTACCAGTCAACGTTTACTCTTCCTACTTCCAGTCCCAGGCCCTTGGAAATGATATCAGAACAGATGCTACAGCAGTTGAAATAATTTCTTTGGCAAGAAGACAGTTCAGAAGGACTAGAACAATGGAAAGGGCAGCCACTCCTCCCCCCCCCCGCCCTGAGACTCACTCTTCCAGCGCTTTATAACCATCATCCTCTGCCAATATTTCCACATACACTTAATAGAGAAGACTGAGAAGATGCCGACTCAGCAAAAGCCAGGCTATCTAAATAGAGGAAACAGTTAACATTCTTTTGTCCTTCAAGATATCCTGTCCTATTGTTTTACCACAGCCATCTTCAAAGGAAGGGCTTACGGCCAAGGCCCCCACGCCTTTCAACTCTGCCCTTTGGGAGTTCAACCTGAACAGCAAGGAGGGTCCAGAATGGTCAGAAATATGCTAACCCAAGGTCAGCAGAGAGGGCCACAGGCAGGGAGTCAAACCACTGGAAAACCTGGGTCCTGTTCAGCAGTACTGAGTTCCAACTGAGATGCTAATTGTAAAAAGTAGTTTGATAACACATTTGGGCACTCCTGACCCAGTTCAGATACATTTTATGCAGAGTGTAAAATTAAACATTCAGAAATAGAATATAGGTATTTTATTGTTTCTGAAGTTTTCACATTTTGTACACTGTTTCTGTTCCCATCAACTACAGAATGTATACACCTCCACATTTCTTCTACAACTTCAAGCATTTTTTTATGCTTTAACACTTATCCTATAAAGCACATGGAACAGGGTAAAAAAAGGAAAATAAAACATGAAACTTATAAATTAAAAGCAAAAAGGAATGACAGTTTTTTCCTAAGTTAGTGTGCTTGCACTTATGTAATATCCTCCCAAACTGTGTCAGTCATTTTTGATTGGCATAGTAACAGAAAGAATTTAAGGCCACAAAAGACTCTACATTGGGCGGATTGGCAATGGTGGTCGCTCTCCCCAGTTCGCGGGGAGGTGATTAGCACACCAGCAGCAAGGAGGGGTGCTGCCTCAAGTGGCACCCTCACGGAGCCCTTGCGATGGGTTCCAGGCCAGAGGGTTTTTGAGGGTTAGCCTCTTCGACGGCTCGATGCCGGAGAATAAAGGCTTCCCTCCGCCCTGACGGTCCTACCGCTGAGTGACCACATGGTACAAGCTAATTCGACCGGGACAAGCGTAGGAGATCGAGAGGAACAAAGAATGAGAGAGCGAGGTCTGTGAAAGGACCAACAATGAACGTGAGTTCGAAGTAAACAGACTATTTTGATAAAATGGAGTACCCCCTACCGTGGGAAAAGCGGAGCGCGAGGAGGGACGTCTCTTGAGCGCAGAGACAGATCAATGCAGCAAAGGGGGTGGGGGGGAACAAACAGCGAGACTATATTGAGAGACTTACTTGAGTACCCACAGTGAAAAGACGAGTCTTTCGAGCCCTGACAGAGCGGTTTGAAATTGTAAACAAAGAGGGAACATGGCGGCTTCCCGAGGAAAGTTTAAATCGAAACCAGGCAGCCAGAGTCCAAGACCGGAAGAGGGAGCAGACGTCATGAAGTTACTAGCAGATATACTGAAGCAGGTAATGGAGCAACTCAGTGGTATTAACTGGCTACATTAAATCAAAACTTTGCTCAACAGCAGCGCCAGCTGGCAGAAACGGAGAAGAAAGTGGAGCAAGCTACTGAAAACATTACAGAAATGGACACCACAAATAAGAAAGTGAAGAAAAGAGTGACAGATGTGGAAACAACACAAAAACTTCAGGAAACTCGTTTGTTACAGCTTCAAATGAAAAAAGCTAATATGACTCTTAGATTTCAGGGAGTGCCTGAAACTGAAAAAGAAGATTTGAAGAAGACTCTGGGCTAGATTATTGCTCCAGTAACAGGCTTATCAGCGGAGGAAATAATAAAAGACATGGAAGCTGCCTATAGGGCATACTCCAATTATATAAAGAAAAATAGCCTGCCTGGAGTGGTTAGATTTGTGAGAAGACAGACCAGAGATGCAATATTAAAGGCAACTTCGGCAAATCCACTGAAATCTGGGAATATAATCATCAGAACTTTAAAAGATATTCCATTTGAAATATGTCAAAAGAGGAAAAGCTACAAGGAGCTCATCTCATTTCTTCAAACCAATGGAATTCAGTATCGGTGGGCGATTCCTGAAGGTGTCATTTTAAAAATCAATGATAAAAGAGAGAAGATTGACTCCATTTTTAAAGCTAAAGAGTTTTTAAGACGTCAGCTGGGATAGAAGTGTAAAACAAGAACTCTACAAGTATATTGTGTGGCTAACACTTTTATTACTAACATATAGCTTAACACGGAAATGATCTCCTTCTCTTGGGTTTTTAGTTAGTGTGGGTATCTTTCCTTCATCCCTAGTTGTAGTCTAACGTACTTCACAGGGTTGTTGTGAGGATAGAATGGAGACAGGGACAATGTTGAAAGCCATTCTAGGTTCCCACTGGGATCAAAGTCGTGCATAAAATGAAATAAAATAAATATGTAATACCAACATAAACACAACCCTAAAAACCCTAAAAAACGAACATTACTTTGCCTATATTACACATAGGTGTTGTTTTTTCAAGATCCCCTAGCCTCAGCACCATGAGCATGCAGACTTAAAGCAAGAGTCATACAAGTAGTACACAGTTTTTAGGAGGAAAAGTCTTCTCTTGGATAGTGGCTAAAGGTGAAAATGAATCTTTAGGCCCAGCTGTCCAGGGAAGCCATGCAGGAAACAACAAACTGGTACTTTTATTAATCAAGTTAAACCACTAACACCTTCTCAACCCACCTTTCAAATTAAGCTTCATTTCCCCCCCTTGACATAGCCTGCGTTGCCCTAGTCCCAGTTCCTTGGGGCTCTACCTTTCAAGAAATCCTACCAACTTAGCAAAAAGTGATAAGAATTTACCCCATTTAGATATGGCAGCAAGGAGGAACTACAGTGCCGAGAATACACAAGGGCTGCGGTCACACACACTAAATAATCCACTTTCAATGCACTTTTCAACTGGCTTTTGCCAGCTCACACAGTAAAATCCAGTTGGAAAACGCACTGAAAGTGGATTACTCAATGCGTGTGACTGCAGAAAATGAGTGTCTAGACTCAGTTTGGGAACCCTCCACACTGAGGCCTTGTTGCTGGACAAGCCTCCACCTCTCCCACTCCTCCTCTTTTCAGATGACTCACTGGGAAATACGAGTTCTCCAGATACAGCTGTAACAGACAGGAACCCTCACCATCTCTCAAAAGGCATTTGGGAGATTCCAACTACAGAACCGTTTACAACTTTTTGTATTTATGGCTTCAGTTCAAGGTCTGGCCCAAAGCAACAGAGATTTTAGATTCAAATTCAGTTCCTGTTAGCTGAAAAAACCTCTCTGAACCACTTTGGGCTCAGTTTGACTCCTTGCTTGCAAGTCTCTTTAGCATTGTTTTGATTTGCACAGTAAAAGGGAAAGGCTGCTTTAGGAATAAAGTCCACACAACACTTTTTGCTTTAAGAGAGAAAAGGACACCTTTTATTGTTAAGGAACTTTATAGGAAAGGGAAGAACAGGCATTCTCACTACCTATCTAGGCTAAGGACAGATGCTAAGAGCACACCTTGCCCTCGTGGAGATTACTACACAGAAGTGGAAACAGAAAAGGAGTGAGCTGGAAGAAAGGAAGTCCCTGAGAGTAGCACTGAGTAAACAAAGAGTAGGAGGGACAAGAAGAAGAACACAGAGGAATTTGATTTCCCCACCTTACTAGCTCTACTGCTTGCTCTGGAGTGCTTGATACAAGACAATGTGCAGTCCTTCATGTCTGATGCCCCCCTCTTCATGCCTCACAAACAAGTCTGCAAGATTCACATTCATTTGCAGGGCCTGAAAACGAACTCTGAGGAGCAGCTCTTGGTATCAGCTGCCATTTATCCTGTGGGGCAATAAATCTTCTCGATGAACTTATCTTGCAAGCCTCTCACCGTGGATGCTTTAGACTGATGTGCTTGGAGCATGCATTCACCTTTGGTGCGTTCAACAGAGCGTAACACAACTCTCACTTAAGCCAAACAGACAGTTTTCCAAAACAGATTGCAGTTTCTTGGTTACAGAAATCACACCCTCCTGAAACAAAGGTTAGTCTGAAAGGGTTTTGCAAAACTGTTGTGCGGCTGCAGTTCACTGGATCTGATAACAGGAACATCCGCCATGGATTATTCTTCACTACACTGCTGGGAGAATATCCAAGCGTTTTAGAACAGAGTTACGCAAGCGCTTTATCTTTTCACATCCACAAACTGCAGGCTTTTAACCCGATGAAGGAGTGAACCCCAGAAGCTGTTCTATGGGCTTGTACCTCCATTCGTCTGCTTCCAGTTCTTCAACTAAACCAGCAAGTTTTTCCATCCGAGCAACCTGCTGATCTATAAAGAGAAAAAAAATTCAACTGTAGTTTGCAATCAACTTTCAATTAAGCTTTCTAAATTAAATGCTTTTTACAGCTGTGAGTCAGCTTTTGCATCAGACAGTTACAGGAAAGTTTTATTCCACACATCGGTAAGCCAATTTCAACCTTTCCACTGTTTAATATTTTTCTTTTAAAATTTGCATTTTATTGAAACAAGAACAAAAATATAATTCACTGTTTCTGTTACACAAGACATAACAATACTTCAAAGCAACAGAATAGCTACCAATCGATCCGCTCATCTACTGCATCCCCCCCACAACTCACATTTTTCATGTGGCTCCTGTTCTGAAACTGGAGAATTCCAAAGAGCTTTTCCTTCCATGTATAATTCTACTTTTCTGTACTGTCATTTCTCCCAAACATAGCTTGTCCATTGTAATTAAGCTTCTGCCACAATTCCAGGCACCCAATGGGGAGCAAGTGTCCTAAGTCATTCGTTTGGTACAAGAGTTGTGGCTTTTCATAACCACTCTGTCTAATGTGAGTTGGGATCCTGAAGATGGCATGTGTCTGTCCTAGCCCTGCTAAACAATTCAATCTATATAAATAGATGACTTTCAGCACCTGTAAGAGAGCACTTTCTTCTACAGATCAGAAAAGCATCAGAGTCATCAAATCTCTCACTCGGCTCCAAAGCAGCTCCACACTAATTATAAGGCCGGTGTATGATAAAAACAGGAGCCAAACAGATGCATCATGTCAAGATGCTTCAGAGCAAACAGACCAAGATGACCGAAGAGAGTCACAACACACCACTCATTGTGGTGATTAGCCAACTTGACTCTTTGGCAATGGATGCAGTCTTTCTCACAGTCTCCTGTTAGACACAAGAGAAGCCATGTCTATCCCAAGCATATGTTACACTAACACCACGTCCCTAATTGCGAGATATCCCCACCCAGTTCCTCAGAGGGAAGGAAAAATACTTCAGGTCTTTGAAGAGAAGTTGCTTTTTGCCTTTGTGAAGTAAACTAAGGCTTTAGGTTGTTGTTGTTCAGTCGCACAGTCGAGTCCGACTCTTCGCGACCCCATGGACCAGATCCCGCCAGGCCCTCCTGTCGTCCTCCGTCCTCCGAAGTCCGCTCAACTGCATTGCCCGTTGCATCCAATACTACTAATAGCCTTACCAAATGTAAGGAGGGCTTATTTGTATTATCCATTCCCTAAAAGGTCATAGAAGCAAACAACAATACTGCAACTGTCAAGATGACGATCTGCAAGGGGCTCTGACGTTAAAACAGTAATCCACGCATCTGAAGGATTCTTGGCCAACCTCTTGATCCACAGAATGTGGCCAGAACAGTTTATTATCTAGTTCCATATACAAAGAATTAAATCTTGCCAGCTAACAGGCTCATCAACTTCCACAAAACTATAAAGAACACTTTAGAGAGATCTTTTCCCATCTTGATGACACTTCAGAAACATTTAACCGATCATACACCACATGAGCCAGGAAGGAGAGATGCAGAGATCTGATATAAAAACAACCAAGCTCAGATCAGAGGAGGAGTGCTTATTAATGGCAAAACTGCCACTCTTGAGGCTTCCTGGTGTGAGCGCAGAATCTGTGCCACTGACACATACAGTACAGCATAAAGTACGATGCTATCGCCCCAAGAACTAGACTGCCTAGATGAAACTACAAAAATAATGGCTTATTGCAAAGAGATGTGTTCACTGGCCATAAACCAGCACACCCTTCTATGTGGTTTTGCCTTTTGCACAGGATGTATTGTTATTGTGAAGGTTCTACTGCAAACAGCCACTGACGCTTCCTACTCACCATGCTTCACTTGCTTTAATGTGGATGCAACCTGGTAGCTGAAAACTGATTCACAGAGGAATCTCTCCGAGCCATCTAGAAGAGAAAAGCAATTTAATCCTAACATTGTTATAAGCTCCCCCCAAAAGTTGTACATCTTGTCTGTGCCCATCAAAACGGTGTGACTTTCTGCCTCCTCTCCTCCACCCATCGCAGTATCACCCAGTACCATAGCTTTCTTTCTAGGCAAAGGAATAAAGCCTAACTTGTGGTTTGCATTCGCTTAGTATTATGAGGCAGAACATCTTAACCAGCTGCTTGCAGGGCTTCAGAAGAACATATTCGCGCATTGTTTCAAGAGGTGTGTTTAAGCCACTTTGGAGATCAGTGGTGAAGAGGCAAGATATAAACATTTCAAACATCAACCAAAACAAATGTTCTCTGAAAACAACCTCCAAGAATCCTGAAAAGGTCTGAATGGACTTCTTGATCCTCCTTAATCCCTTCACTTTTTAGAGGTTTCCTCTTTTGAAATTACAGATGACCGCATTGAAGTTTCCGGGCAACTCTCGGCTTTATGTCAAGTTCAGCTACCCTCTGGGAGAGAGACTCCTAGCTGTCTCTAACTGCTTCACATGGGAACCAGTTGACTCAGCCGTAAGAACCCAGCCAACACTGGTTAAGCCCGAGCTCTTGCCAAGAAGCAAGGCACGTTTCATGAACAATGGTGCATTGGGCTCCTTTGATTGCATCAGTGAGAAGTAAAAATCAAGGCAGAACAGGCTTCTCTCCTTTCTTGGGGAGCAACTGCTACAAGGGCCAGTTCATACACCGTGGTGCCCCCCCCCCACCTCCCTCAGCAGTATGAGGGATAGCTGGGAAGGTATGCATATGACATACCAGGCTGCAGTCACATGGGAGAGCAAATCAGCAACTGTAAATGAATGCTGCACATATGGCGGATGTGATCTCTGCTACTCTGTGACTTCACTGCTTTAGTATTGTTAACTATAGTTAACGAGTCCTTCTGTTGGGAGAAAAGCAAATATAAAAGAACTTTAAAATAGATAAATTTAAAAACAAGCAAACAAAAGCAATGGTCCCTGTGGTTTGCAGCCCTTCTTTGGACAGTTGTTCACAGTGGTCGAGACACCACAGCCATCCAGTGAGGCCAGTGAATACTCTTCCCAGTTGTGCTGAGGCCCCCCAGAGGTCTCATGGCGAAGTTGATCTGAGGTCGCCTCACTTCAACATGCCCACCCCCTGCGGCATACAAGCTCCTGGGAAGACAAGAACACTGCCCTCCTCTGAGCCACTCTTTCTATAAATACAGTGAAGAATGAGCACAACAAAGGCTTTGCTCCTTGTGCCACTTCAGCTGCTCATTCTTAGTACTCCAAATCATTGTAAAGCAGATGTAGAGAAGCTCACACCCTCTCCAAACATCCAACAACTTGTGGAGGAAAGAAAACTCATTCTCAACTAATCTCTCTTATGCCAACTGTCTTCAACTCAGTCCTCTTAAAGTACAAAGCAACACCACCTTGCCCTTGAAAGAAAACAATTCATCAGTTTCCTGGAAATGTCACAAACACACTGAGATTTCAATTAAGATTGAAGGGGACTTTGCTGCAGGTGCAAGAGCATCTTGTCAAGAGCATCGTGTCAAGTGCCCAAGAATGGATGAAAAAAACTAGGTGAATTTCAGCAGAAAGAAAATCTGTTCTGCCAGGTATGGGTGTTAAGACAAGTTATGAATGACTCACTCATAACAGAGAAGAACATCCAGCCAGTTGCCTTCTTGAAGGATCAGACAAAATGCACTGAAGCATCTCAAGGCAGAATCCTGCAGTCTATGGGAACACTGGCAACAACAGCCATTCTTTAGCAGGCAGCACATGCCTATGCTGCAGAGAGCTGAGGGAGGATACGTACTTGTCAAACTCACACAGAGCCTCCAACCTTTTCATTACCAGCCCACCATCAGTACGGGCCATCATATAATCCTTGGGATAAATTCTGTAAAATGTACAAATGGCCACATTGCTTCTTGAGAACAGCGCACTCTTCGTCTCTCTCCCTTGGAGAGGAATTTTAAAGATGAGTTAGCATCAGCTTTAGCCAAGCCGACCCCTCTTGCACAGAAGAGGTCAATATCCCAAGAACACTTCCATGGAAACAAGACCCACTAAAGAACAGGCTGTATACCAGGGCATTTGGGCTTAGATTTGCATGTCATCCATATAAAATTAAATCTGGGGTTTGGCTTCAGCTGCATTTCAGCCTCTTCCTTCAGTACCATGGAGCTGCCTTCTGTTCACAGCAATGATCTTTAATGGATGGGCTGGTGCCCACAACTGGGTAGCACCCTGATTAAAGCAGGTCACAGCAGTACCATCACCATACTTACTATTTAGGATTCTTCTAAGAGAAAGAGAAACCATGGAGAAAAAGAAGAAAGAAAAGGGGTGTAGGCATGGTAGTAAAAAATTAAGAAGGGGTCTCATGTTACCGACTGGGGCTAAAGCAAAGTCCCAAACCTGAGAAGTCTGAAGACTATTGGTACAACGTGATTTCACATAGGTTTATGACATGGAGTTCAGGTTCCAAGGCAAAAAGAGAGCAGCATACATGCGGAGCCAGCAAAAGGACGGAGCCGGAAGCTGTGACTGCCGCGGACCGGAAAGGCGGGCCCACCAGAGGAAAGCCACCAGAAAGACCTGTTCCAGGGGCCAGGAAAGCAGAACGCCGGGAAAAACAAGGAGATGCCGAACAAAAAATCAACTGAGCCCTGCTGCCTGGGTGTCGGTAAGGAAGACACCCCCTCATACAACAATGTGGCCCAAGATAGGTAGCGTAAAAATAATGTAAACCGCTCAGAGACCCTTCGGGGTCAGAGCGGTATAGAAGTCAAAAGAAGTCAAAACTCGAAAGATAATCCATTAAATGGACTACTCCGTTTGCTGAAGTGGCCCAAAGAGCCCAAAGTTGTCAAAGCCCGGGCGCTGAGCAGGGTTGGCCACAATCAGTCCAAGGATGGGAGACGTCAAAGGAAGTTGGGGGTTGCCATGAGACAGTCGCAACTTAACGGCTGTCAGCTAGCTGCCATTGTCATTCCGGTTCCTGTGTAGTTCCCTTCACCCCCTCCCTCTCATTCCTTGTTTGCTTGAGTTATGTTATGTAGTCCGCGGAACTTGCCAAGGTCGTGCAGCTGGGTGTAGGGGGAGAGCTTCGCCTAGGATGTTTTGGGTATCTCGTATGTGAACTGAACCTGTGTTGACATTATAGAACTGTTGCGTTCCCATGCAATGGGCGCGAACTGTATGGTCTATTCCCGCCAGCGGGAACTGGACCCATTGGTCCTTCCCTGGTTCAAATGTCTTTATTATGCCTTCCCTGGTTACCTGTAGTTATTCCTAACAATGTCCTGTTCTGGTTAAACGAACGCTTTGAAATAAACCTTACTTGCTTTGCAACGTGGAGTTGTTTTGAATGCTTGGGATCCAACAACGGCACATTCTTCTTCTCGTTCAGCTGGGGGGGGAGGAGGCTAGCAGGAGACTGCCCTCTAAGAAACTCAGGGTGGGAAGGGAAAGAGAGCTATGGCAGACCAGAGCAGAGTGAACGGCTATAAAGCTGACCTATAATATATTAAAGCTAGAGAGCGAGGATGGGTGTGTGTGTGTGTGTGTACCTCCAGACTATTGGAGGTGTGAAATGGTTTTCAGGAATGTGCTTCCTATCTTGGCCGCTCAATTTTACTGTACATTTTCAAAATTATTTGCAAGCTACCTCAAGAGTCTTAAAGGAAAGGCAGGGCATAAGTTACTCAAATGCCTCTGTTGTAAACCACTGCGTTTTTTTACCTGTGTGTGTCTTCCTCAGAGACACCGGCAACGATGACACCCAGAGAGCTGGGCTGGAGGGGGCTATGCCACCAGTTTCCTGATAAGGGTGGGTTTTGCTTCACACTCATGGCCTGATCGTTCCACCAAGGGCTGGGAGATGGCCTGAACTTTAGCACTTTGCAGCTGAGCGGGCAAGCTCTCTTGCTGAGTAATGTGTAGCTCAGCTGATTTTCACGGCCTGTCAGCATTCTCTAGCCTGCAAGGCACCCGGTGGCATTAGGCACCAGGCTCACTCTTGCTTTGGATTGACAGGGTGTGAAAGCATTAAGCTGGGAAGGGGGGCAGCCAGCCTGTAAGGTCCTGCCTCCAAGATGGACTGGGGGATGTTGGGTCTAATGGCAAGTCCCTGAACACTGTGCCTTGCAGCTTATGACTGCTTCAGCCTCCAAGGCAGCATCTAACAATACTTACCATGCAAGCTCTACCGGACACATCCTGCTTAGACATACCAAGTGCCTTGTTTTCCCCATGAGGAGCTTGTAGACCAGAGGGTTAGAGGAAAAATAAGCCCCTGGAGACTTCTAGGAACCCCAAAAGGGCTTTGCCAAACAGCCTGGTCATTATGCTGCATGCTGACATTGGTCTGGTGGGAGCGAGGAGAGCTGCATTGACTCTAAGGGAGTTGTCCCACATACTGCTTCTGCGGGGGCGGGGGGGGGGCAAGAGGGAAGGTGATCACAGTATTTATTCTCTAGATATATTTTCTTGGGCTCCTTCCCAATTTGTGAAACACACAAATCGTTATTTTAGAAGACTCCCACGTACAGCTGACCTCCAATGTGCATCCTGGAGAAACTCAGCAACACAGTATTGAGGTCAGTATAACAGCTGAGATAAACGATGCACTTAGGGCTGTCAGAAGCTGCCAAAGGACAAAAAAAGCCCTTCCAAGGACAAACATCTTGCTTCTGTCAGACAGTACTTATATAACTCAGCGAAGTAAAGCTGGTAGGGGCATTAATGCCTAGCAATTTGTTATTAGCCGCCTAGCTGTCCACTGCACCTTTAAATCTAGTTATTTCAGCATGACTTAGTTTTTAACGTTTGGCTGGACTGTGCCCACTCTTGTTATTGCTGATATAAAATGACTCTGCAGCATTCAGCTGACAAGAGCACTATATATTTCCATGCTGAGAGCGCTGCCACTAACCAAGCCCAGCCAACTGCTTGGCTCAGAAATCAGCTGCA